CCCACTTGGGGTTGAGCACTGTGGAGCTGAAACTCAGGTCAAAGTCATTTTCTTTAAGGCCCGGGTATGTTTATATCTCTCCTCCTCCACACAACTTGAGCAGCAGTCACCTCTACCCTGATTGGGACCAAGCCAAACTTGCTTTGCCGAGGCAAATTACCTTAACATTGAGTTTATATATTTAATAGGCCACTGAATGGATTGCAAAATATTATGAGGATTTGAACTATCACCCAATGCCTCTGAACACAGAGAAGTCTTAAATCCAGTTTTGAGAACCTTGAGACCATCCTTCTCCAACATGGCAAATATAATCCTTCTTGAAGTCAAATTCTCTGTCCCTGCATAGCCCACCATCTCACCCTCCTACTGTTGCTTTCCCTGCTACAGTGAAAACCCATTCCACTGTGGACAAACAATTCTCCTTCTGCAAGTATAGTCTTGGTTGCTCTCTCTACATCCTGGCCTTGACAGAGATCTGGCTTCCCCATCACTCCACTTCCCTCGTGGTTCTTCCTGTCTCTCAAATAGAGGCTGTTCATTTATCACTTTCTATGAACTTCAGGGCCAGGTAAGGTCTCAGCATTTTCCTGTTTCCAAACCATAATTCCTTCAGCTTCACATCTATAAAATTCCTCCTTTGAGGTTTACACTGCTTTCTGGTTGCTATTACCAACAATCTGCCCAGTTGCTTGTCCACATTCTATGAACTCTCTGGAACCCAGCCAGGGGTAGTGATGCCTTCTGTGCTCAGAAGGCGAAGTAATCTTACACCTCAGTCTCATAGTATTTGACCTTAACCTGTATTTCAACTCCTTCCTGCCAAGGACACACCCTAGATGGCCTCATCAGTCACAATAACCACCTCATTCCAGGACCATTTACTTTCCTCCTGATCCTTCAGCTCTGACCTTGATATCCTTTCCTTTACCTTCCAGTCTATACCTCAAGATCTCTTCAATTCACTCACACCACTACCCTCATCTTTTTGTTTACTCATCTTGCAAAATCTCAACCCAAGATAAACCAAACCATTTTACTCTTCACTCTCAATCAAAGCTGTTGAATTAAGATATAGGAGAGAAGGGGGATCGTTATGGTTGGAGAAACATGTGGGTTGGCAGAGTCAAGTGGGTTGAGGGTACAGCCATGATTGGAAATGTACATTTGCAGAGAAACCAATTCACATGGTTGTGTGGTTTTCTCCAGTGTCCCAGGGTAGGAATGATATGCACTAATGGCTGGATTTGGGGCTTTGCAGTCCAGGTGAGCAGAATGCCAAGACAATGGAGGAACTGAGATTGACTGAAGCAAAAGACCATAGTGTCTAGATTGAAGAGGAAAGGGAATAAAACACATGACAACTTCTGTTGATCTTAGTATGCTATATCCATCTACCTTCTTTTCCTTTATTTTGGGTGTATGAGAACTTGGCACAGTGTTAAGACCCAGTGCTCAAAAAAAAAGACTTTAAGTCAGCCTAAGGCAGTGATGGCGAACCTATGACACGCATGTCAGAGGTGACACATGAACTCATTTTTTTTGGTTGATTTTTCTTTGTTAAATGGCATTTAAATATATAAAATAAATATCAAAATATAGGTCTTTGTTTTACTATGGTTGCAAATATCAAAAAATTTCTATATGTGACCCGGCACCAGAGTTAAGTTAGGGTTTTTCAAAATGCTGACACGCCAAGCTCAAAAGGTTCGCCATCACTGGTAAGGTGACAAGATCAGTACCATCTGTCTTGGACCATTCACCACCACAAAGATGTGACTATACTGATATGAAACCCAAGGAGACCAAATGTAGTCAGTGGGTAAGGGCCAAGGGCTAGACTTCATTTTTCAGGATAATGAGATATAGCATTAATAGTTAAGAGTGAAGGCCTGGAAGCAGACCAACTAGATTTGTAATTTGGACCTGCCATATATTAACTATAGCAACTGGGTAAATTATTAAACTTCTCTTTTTTTTTCTTGTCTGTAAAGTGAGGACAATACAAATGTGTACCTCATAGAGCTGTTGTGAGGACTCACTGATGCCATGGGCTATTGTTAATGCTATTGTAATAATACAAAAGCAAGCAGGTTTAATACTTGCCCAGGGCTTTCTAATTTCCACCTGAACCTAGCACCTACCTCAGAAGAACATCAATAACTTATGTTACCCAAAGTTAACTCAGTCAAAACTTCTTGATATCTTCCTATGGAATCTTAACTCTAAGATGACTCCATCCCACAGGGAGACCTAGTTCCTATGGATCTTCTCTCTTGGGTGATTTCATTCACTCAGTGGCTATAAATACCATCCCTATGTGTATCAATCATAAGAAACATCCAAACCTGTAGAGATTTTTATGAATTTATTTGAGCCAAACTGACAATTGCTAAGAAGCAAAATCTCAACGGTTTAAGAAAATGCTCTGGAGAATGGCAGTTTTGCAGCTTATTTTATACATTAGAATCAAAGGAGAAGACATAAGGAGGGTAACGTGAGATACACTGATGGTAGATTAGAGAGGAGAGAAAAAGCAAAGCAGGGAAATCTCTGGGATTGGGTAAAAGTAAAATGGAGAGCCACTTACTTCTTTTACACTGGTGGGTACAGGGTAGGCCTATTAGGGCCTGTTACTTCCCTCCATGGTAGGCTATGACCCACCACCCCTTACTACCAGGTAGTCTCACATTAGTGTTAACCACTAGCATTGTCCTGTAGATATAATGCGATCAACATTGTGTAATTTTAAGATTTCTAATGGCATCATTTTATTTATTTTTTTAAAATATATTTTATTGATTTTTTACAGAGAGGAAGGGAGAGGGATAGAGAGTTAGAAACATCGATGAGAGAGAAACATCGATCAGCTGCCTCCTACACTCCCTACTGGGGATGTGCCCGCAACCAAGGTATATGCCCTTGACCGGAATCGAACCTGGGACCCTTGAGTCCGCAGGCTGACGCTCTATCCACCGAGCCAAACCGGTTAGGGCTAGTGGCATCATTTTAAAAAAGTAAAAAGAAACAGTTTTAATAAATAGTGTTATAATTCAAAATATTATTTTAACAATATAAAATTATTAATATCTTTTTTAAAAGACAATAGACAGACTCACTTAAGGTAAAGATTGACCTTTGTCAAGGACGCTACAGGCTGCTTTTAGTTAGGAATTTTTATGTTCAGGCCATCCTATGTAATTACTTTCAGTCTCTGACTTTTTAAGGCCCACCACGCAGGCCTCCCTGATCTTGTCGGGTTTAGTACGTGAACCCTTTTTCGTCCACACGTGGATAACTCCCTAATTTATATTTTATCTGACCTCTCCTATGACTGTCAGTCTCCAAATTTAAAATATATCCAGCTGTCTCCAAATTTATATTTTAAAGTAACTTTAAAATATAATATACTTAAATATAAGTTTATTTTTATGTTTTAAATAAAACTTTTACACAGGCAACAAAAGAAAAAATAGATAAACTGAACTGCATAAAAATTTAAAACTTCTGCACATAAAAGGACACACAATCAAAAGGGTAAAAAGGAACCCATGGAATGGGAGAAAATATTTGCAATTCATATAGCTGATGGGTTTAATGTCTAGAATAAAGAGCTCCTACAACTCAGTAACAACTAAATGACTTGAGTTTAAAATGAGCAAAGGACTTGAATAGGCATTTCTCCAAAGAAAATATACAAATTGCCAATAAACACATGAAATTAACCACAATATCACTATCATTAGGGAAATATAAATTAAAACTAAAGTGAGATAGCACCTCACACTTATTAGGATGGCTACTATTAAAAACATAGAAAAGAACAAGTGCTAGTGAGGATCTGGAAAAACAGAAAACTTTGTGCACTGTTGTTGGAAATATAAAATGGTACGGTCCCATTAGAAAATAGTATGGCAGTTCCTCAAAAAATTAAACATAGAATTACCATATGATCCAGCAATTCTTGTGAGAAATACCCAAAAGAATTGAAAGCAGGGCCTTGAAGAAATATTTATACACTCATATCCATAGCAACATTATCCACAACAACCCAGTGTCCATCAACAAATGAATGGATAAACAAACTGTGACATATAGATACAGTGGAATATTATTCAGTGTTAAAAAGGAAGGAAAATTCTGACATTTGCTATAGCACAGATGAACCTTGAGGACATTATGCTGTGAAATAAACCAATCACAAAAGGACAAGTACTGTATGATCCCAGTTATATAAGGTACCTAGAGTGATAAAATTCATTGAAACAGAAAACAGAAGGATGATTGCTAGGGGCTGGGAGAAGATGAAAAATGCGCAGTTATTATTGTTCAATGGGTTCAGAGTTTCAGTTTTGCAAGATGAAGAGTTCTAGATGGGGGTGATGATTGTACAACAATGCAAATATACTTAATGCCCCTTAATGCCACTTGTTAAGATGATAAATTTCACACTATGTGTCTTTTACCACAATAATAATGTTTAATTAAAGAAAAATTTTAACTTCCCAAACCTCCACTCCACCCAATTTCCTCCGAGTGGTTTAGTCCAAAAATCCAGGAGTCATCCTTAATTTCCTTCCCTTACCCAACAGTAAGGCATTAACCTTTTGCTTCCAAAATGTATTCTGAATTCATCCATGTATCTCTTTCACAGATACACTCTACTTCAGGCCATGATATGCTCGTGCCTGAGATGCCGCAATCACTTTCTAACACGTCAATCTGTTTTCATAATTCTCCACATAGCAGCCAAAGTGCTTCTTTTGTTATAGAAATCACACCTTACCCTTTCTCTGCTTGAACATACTCTGATTGTTTCTCATTGCACCTATAAAATTCAAACTCCTTGCCACTGTCCACAAGGCACTCCTAGATGATCTGGTCTCCATATAAACTGGCCTCCTGCCAATGTCTCTGCCCTTATGTCCCATTGCTCTCTTTGATCACTGTGTTCTGGTCATGCTGGTCTTCCCTCGGTAGCTCGAAGCGCATGACCTTACCTCACAATCTGTACTTGCTGTTCCTCTGCTTGGCACACTCTCTTCCCAGATCTTCACATGACAGGTTTCTTCTCATTCCTTGCAGCTCAGCTCAGATATCACCTTTTTAAAAAAGTATTCACTCATCATTTAATCTATAGTAGCCACCCCCTGACTGTCACTCTTTATACCATCATCCTTTTTTACCATTCTTTTTTCTTGGCCCCTACCACCACAGGCATACTTCTGTTTATTGAGCTTCACAGATGTGTGTTGTGTGTGTGTGTGTGTGTGTGTGTGTGTGTGTGTGTGTTTATACATACAAATGAAGGCAGGACCCTCTACCAGCAAAAAGATTATGACTTGCTTTATTGCAATACTTGTTTTATTGAGATGGTCTTTGAACTGAACCTGCCATAATTCCATGCTATACCTGTATTTGAAATTTGTATTTATTTTTTTCAAGTTTATTGTCATCTTCCTCATCCCCCAATTAAAATGTGAGCTTCACATCGATCAGACCATCAAACCTCAGAGGGAAGGTAGGGGAGGGTGTGGGTAAGGGGGCGAGATCAACCAAAGGACTTATATGCAAGCATATAGGCCTAACCAATGGACACAGACAACAGGGGGATGAGGGCATGAGTGGGGGTGGAGATGGTGGATAACGTGAGGATAAGGACACATATGTAATAACTTAATCAATAAAAAATGTAAAAAAATAAATAAAATAGACCTAAAAAATAAAAAGTAAAATAAAATGTGAGCTTCAAGAGAATAGGTATCTTGCCTCTTTCCTCAATTCCTAGAACCCAGAACAGTGTTGGGCAAATAACAGCCTATTTAAATATTTGCTGAATGAATGAATTCAGCAAATATTTGTTTGAATGAATGAATAAGTAAACAACATTAATAACCCAATTTTCACCCTAGCTGATTTGACTCAGTGGATAGAACATTGGCCTGTGGCCTGAAGGGTCCAGGGTTCAATTCTGGTCAAGGGCACATGCCCAGGTCGCAGGCTCAATCCCCAGTAGGGGGCGTGCAGGAGGCAGCCGATCAATGTTTCTCTCTCATCATGGATGTTTCTGTCCCTCTCCCTCTCCCTTCCTCTCTGAAATCAATAAGCAAAACAAAACAAAAAACCAATTTTCTTTCTATGTCATATGCATACATAAAACCCTTTTAGGAAAACTTGTATTTCTAATATTAGCCATCACCAATGTCTTTTCCATCCAGAGGTTGATAACTAGTCTTTATGATGCAAGCAGTGTATTTCACATCTCATTTTATGCAGGTATTGCCTTGAAGGGAGCAAGTTTGTATTCCTACTGCAATGTGTAGGTAGCAAAATTGGTAGCAATGTGTAATTATTTATATGGAATTTTAAAACTTTCCTGTATCTCTTAAGCCAAATTGTGGATTTCACATTGGAAATTACACTCATTCAAAGCCAAGGTCTGGACATCTACATCCTTAAAAAACTGTTCAGATGATTTCTTATCTAACTTTTCTTGTCTGGAGAATGTTTCAAGGCCCATTCTCCTCATGGTTAGTTACCTATGTGTCCAGGTCAAAACAGACTGGAGTTACAATGCAGGATCCTGTAACAGCACAAATGTGATTTCTCTGGCCCTTCTGTTTGTGCACCTCCAATCTCCCTCAAAGCCAAACCTACAGACCACAGCTGGGCTCATGAATACAGACTTTTCTGTTAATTCTTTTCTTTTTCTTTTTTTTTGAGATGTGTCTGCAGTAGACACCTGGAAAAGAGCACAAAAGTGCTGCATACCCACTGAAGATGAAGGCCTGCTGTGCCAAGCTCAGCTGCAGCTGCCCTGCTGTACCCCAATTGCTGATATGCATGGGCGATGACATGCCACTACAAATGTGGTCTGATGAGGTGGATAGACTCCTGTTCCTCCACTTTTGGGTCATACTCTGATGTTATGGGACCAAGGCAAATAATGTCTCACAGAGATTTTAGCAAAAATAGCTATTTCAGATTTTGCTCAAGGTTCCCTTTCCATAAAATCTGTGAGAGCAACAGCAGAAACTAGACAGACGCGACTCTGCATCATCCTCCACTCGGATGCTGAAGCTATAATATTGGACTTAGTCTGGACTTCTTTGCAAGTTTCCTCTTCCTCAGGCAAGTTAGTCACATAACCTTCAGACTTGTCCAAAACTATGGAGGATGCTTAGTTCATAAGGTGCTTTTTTTTTAGGGTCAATAATCAAAATTAAACTAATAATTATAGCTAATATTAATTCCATAATGTTTAATAATTTGTATATTAGTGATGTATTGCTGCATAAAAAATTACCCCCAAATTTAGCAGCTTAAAACAACAAACATATTATCTCTCACAAATTCTGAGGGTCAGGATTAGCTGGGTAGTTCTGGCTCAAGGTCTCTCATGAGGTTGCAGTCAAGCTATTGGCTGGGGCTGCAGTCATCTAAAGACTCAACTGGTGCTGAAGTGGTCACAATCTCGCTCACTCGAGGGTCAAATGGCCTCAGTTCCTCATTGGCTGCTGGCAGAATTCTTTATTTCTTGCCACTGCCTACACCTCTTACTACATGGCAGCTTGTTTCTCCCAGAAAAATAGGAGGGGGGGGCATTCAAGATGGAAATCTTTTAAAATATAATCACTGAGCCCAGCTGGTGTTGCTCAGTGGTTGAGCATCAGCCTATGAACCACGAGGTCACAGTTCAATTCCCGACCAGGGCACATGTTGGGTTTACAGGCTCAATTCCCAGTGTGAGGTGTGCAGGAGGCAGCCAATCAATGATTCTCTCTCATCATTGATATTTCTATCTCTCTCTACCTCTCCCTTCCTCTCTGAAATCAATAAAAATGTATTTTAAAAATATGATCACTGAAGTGACAAAACATCACTTCTGCTATGTGCTATTGGTCACCAATCCTGGTACAAGGTAGGAGGGACAAGTGTATGAATATCAGAAGGCAGGGATCATCTTGGAGAAAAGCCACCACACCTGCTAGAGTTTTAATCCTTTTAATTTAGGGTTCTAATCCTGAATCTGCTCTGTCATATACGTTTTTTTCCTCTTATATATAAAGTATATATAAGAGAAAACAACCTAATTCAGAATCTGAGGGTTAAAGGGCCTCAGGTAACTGGTTTTCTCAGATACAGAATTCAAGCTCTCTTATAAAAGGTGTAATTTAAATAATGCTAACATTCAGATATGTGGTAATTACTGTCCCACCAAGAACTGGAAGGCACCTTCCAAGGTTGCTGTTTGTTTTGTACATGTAGACAAGACATCTATTATGACAAATGCGTTTTTTTTCCCTTAAGATCTGCTTCTTCTTTGGTAGCCTATTGAATTATTTTCAGACCCTTTCAGGAGTGTTTTCTGACACACAACTGATATTGCCTAAAATATTTTTTTTCAATTTGTTTGGTCTTGTCAAAGTGACTCAAAGAGTCTGGGGGCTTCGGCTAGAAATAAGTGATGTTTATTCAAAAGTCTCAGAATTTGCAAATGGGAATACAGCTAGGCAAAAAATCCCAGAAGCTCTCCAAAGAAGAAAGGAAAGTTAAAAGTTTTTATAGTAAAAAGTACATTACTGAGAATTACTGGTTGATCCAGGATTGGTCCAGGGCAGTTATCAGTCAGGTGTCAGGTGGTCAGGATAATGGATGCCAGATGGTCTGAATAGGAGTCCTTCGGTGCATAATCAGAGGGGTATCTGAAGGTCTGTTCTATGTCCAGCTGTATATCTAGGCATTGACTCAGGATTGAAAAATTCAGAACGTTTTAAGTTTCCAGGCTATTAGAACACGAATAGACTCATTGCCTAATGCCTTACCCCATTTGATATTAGTAATTTAGCAGATTGACAATATTTCCTCACTCCAATCCTCAATTTGTACACAGGCATTGTTCTCATAGGAGCTTTCATTTATTTTGAAATATTAAAACAATTTTGAGAGTCAATATAAGAAACTAATTTATGATTAAGATGCTTGGTTTTCCTTTTCAGTTAGTTCCAGAAAAGGACTGTTAACTTGAGATAAGACGTTAAAAGGAATTAAGTACATTTCTGAAGGCATAGCAAGTCATCTTCAGGAAGCAGGAATACTGAATAGTAAATGCAAATGAAATGACCAACACCTTTGTTAATTTTTATCCTAATGTAAAAAAAAAATTGACTATGCTTTATGGAAATGTTAATATTTCCTTGTGTAAAATGTTGGCAAGGTTAGTGTGGACGGAAAGGGGCCACATGCTAACATGGCTAGCTCAGGGAAGGCCTGCATGGCTGCCTTGCAAATTCAAAGACCTAAAGTAACTGCAAAGATGGTCTGAAATTTAACTTCTTTTACTAAAAGAAGTTTATGGTGGGTAGTCATGTCAAAACTGCCATTCTCCCAAGCATTATCTCAATCTGTTGAGATTCTGCTTCCTGGCAATTGTCGACAGTTTGGCTCAAATAAACGCACAAAAATTTATCACAGGTTTGAATGTTTCTTACATTAACATTACCTTCTCATTCTCATATTTTCAACTTAGAATGTAATCACTATTGAAGCGTTCACCCAATAGGCTACTTGTTGTTTTTTTATCCTCACCTGAGGCTATTTTTTTCCACTGAATTTCAGAGAAAGTGGAAAGCAGAGGGATAGACAGAGAGAGAGAAACATCGATGTGAGAGACACATCGACTGGTTACCTCCTGAACACGCCCTGACAGATGCCAGGGATTCAGGTACGTGCCCTTGACCAGAATTGAACCTGAGACCCTTCGGTCCACAGGTCGATGCTCTAACCACCAAGCAAACTGGCTAGGGCACCAATAGAGTACATTTTAAAATGCACGTTTAGTTCTATTGCCCACACCACAGCTGGGCTGTATAGGCTCTTCTAAATCTGCTTTGATGGAATCTCATGATTGAGCTCTAATGGCCATCATGTTTGCCTGCAATACCTGTATGTAACCAGAACCCAAGTTCTGCTGCCCGCTGCACAAAAACCAAACTCATTGGACAGATGCAGGTGAAAAAAGGAAAGAGGTTTTATTCAGGTGCTGGTCACCTGAGGAGATGGGGAATGCTTGTCACAAAGCCCATCTCAACATCTCAGTGCAGGCAGAGGTTTTTACAAGGAGGGAGAGGCAAAGCAGAACAAAATAATCAAGGGGAGGGAGTTGAAAAGTTGTCTACGTGCAGTCCAGCATGGTCCATTCCATTAAGGATCTTGAAACTGGTCAAGTGACAATCTAGTGTGGGTCATCCTGGTCTTGGTTATCTTGATTTTATGGTCAGCAATTCTCCTAGGACTGGGATGACTGAAGGTCAAAGTCTGTATCTTCTGAAGTTAGTTCCTAGGATTTTGTTTGTTTGTTTGTTTTGTTAATCCTCACCCGAGGATATTTTTCCATTGATTTTTTTAGAGAGAGTGGAAGGGAGGGGGAGATAGAGAAACATTGTTGTGAGAGACACACATTGATGTGTTGCCTCCCACATGATCCCTGACCAGGGTTGAGGATGGAGCCTGCAACCGAGGTACATACCCTTGAATAGAATCAAACCTGGATAGAGTGTCTGTGGGCTGACACTCTATCCACTGAGCCAAACTGGCTAGGGCAGTTCCTGGGATTGTTATACAAACATGCTGTTTATCTACAAGCTACATATTAGTCAGAGTCAGCATTTCACAGAAACAGTGGCAAGAGAATGTGGGGTGGGTTACAATTTTCCACTGTTACAGGTCCCCACTGTCAATTTTTCTTCCATTTCCATGGAAGTTAGGAAGTTATAGCCAAAATATTTCAGGAAACTAGAAAAATTCAGGATCCAGTCTAGTTCATAGGTGAGAAATACAATATTATAGACAATATACTGAACCAGAGCCTAATGTTTATAACTAGAAGCCTGGTGCATGAATTCATGCACAGGTGGGGTCCGGCCAGCCCCACCCCTGATGGGGGGAGAGGGGTTGAAGGGTAGGTAGGGGAGGGCGACTGGCCAGCCCCGCCCCCTGATGAAACTCCCGATCGAGGGGACAGTTTGCATATTAGCCTTTTATTATATAGGGTTGTATTATAGATTCCATTGAAATACAATTTTTCTCCTAAAATCACCCTTACTTTTTATCAGGGAGTTAGTCAGCCACAGGCAGCCTGGGGAACTCCCTCCAAAGTCCAGGGGCTTACTGGGTGTGGGGGGAGGGGCTCCTGCTCACTCCTGGCTGGCTTGCCAAAACTGTAACCAGAGCTCAAGTTCTGTTGCCTGTCACCACAAAAAACAAACTCATTATTAGACAGATGTTGGTGAAAAAAGAAAGAGGAAATGGAGGACTCGTGTCACAAAGCCCATCTCAACATCTCAGTGTAGGCAGAGGTTTTTACAAGGAGGGAGAGGCAAAGCAGAACAAAATAATCAAGGGGAGGGAGTTGAAAAGTTCTCTACCTGCAGTCCAGCACAGTCCATTATGATACGGATCTTGAAACTGGTCAAGTGTTGGTCCAGTGTGGGTCATCCTAGTTCTTTGTCATCCTGGTTTTATGGTTGAAGGTCAGCAATTCTCCTAGAGTTTGGATGACTGAAGGTCAGAGTGTATGTTCTGAAGTTAGTTCCTAGGATTCTTATACAAATACTAGAGGCCCGGTGCACAAAAATTTGTGCACTCAGGGGGTTGGGGTGGGGGGGGCCCTCAGCCTGGCCTGTGCCCTCTTGCAATCTGGGACCCCTCAGGGATGTCCACCTGCTGGCTTAGGCCCACTCCCCGGGGTTCGGGCCTAAGCTGGAAGTCAGACATCCCTCTGGCAGCCCAGGAGCCCTCGGGGGATGTCCATTTGCCAGTGGGGAGCAGACCTAAGCTGCAGTCAGAAATCCTTAATGCTGCTGAGGAGGCAGGAGAGGCTCCCACCACCACCACTGTGCTGGCAGCTGGCAGCCTGGCTTGTGGCTGAGCACAGCTCCCTCTGTGGGAGCGCACTGACCACGAGGGGGCAGCTCCTGCATTGAGCATCTGCTCCCTGGTGGTCAGTGTGTGTCATAGTGACCAGTCATTCCCAGTCGTTCTGCTGTTAGGGTCAATTTGCATATTACCCTTTTATTATATAGGAGGCTTTTTATCTACAAACCACATAATAGTCAGAGTCAGCATTTTACAGAAACAATGTCAAAATAGTGGGTGGATTACAATGTTATTGGCTTTAAAGTCAATCTTCATTCTTTAAGGCTTTTGATGACATCCAGAGTCCAGGCATGTGTCTTTCTTTCCAATATGACATTCTAGTCAAGATCTTGGTTAATAAAACCACAATTGGAGGGAACCAAGATGGCGGCATAGGTTAACGCCGGAGTTTGCTGCTTTGAACAACTACTTCAAAAGTGAAACTAAAAGACAGAAGGGACATCACCCAGAACCACAGGAACGCTGGCTGAGTGGAAGTCCTACAACTAGGAGGAAAAAGAAACGCATACGGACACTCAGAGGAGGCGCAGTGCTGAAGTCAAATTCTGAGGTGCGGAGTGTGGGGAGCGGGCTGGCGGCGGAGGGCGCGGTTGGCGTTTTCAATCAGGAGGGAGTCGCAGACTCTGAGCTCCAGATCTGGGCGAGTCTCTAGGGACCCAGACTCAAACGGGAGAAGTGGGACTGTCTGGCTTCAGTCAGAGCGAGTGCAGCTTTCTCTCTGAGCTTTGCAGCGGGTGCTGGGACTCAGAGAGGCACAGCCCCTGGGGACAGGACTGAGAGCCGCCATAACTGCTCTCTCCGGCCCACCCTGTTGATCCTGTGCGAGCCGCCCCGCCCAAGCCCTGCACAGAGGCTTTTGCCGGATAGCCTCAGGCAAAGGCTAGATTAGCACCTCCCTAGAGGACAGAAGTTCTCTCACTGCTGACACAGCTGATTCGCATAGCCACTTGGCCTGGAGGTCAAACCCTCCCTGGAATTAGCTACAACAATCAAGATTTAACTATAAGACTGCGAACAAAGACCACTAGGGGGTGCACCAAGGAAGCATAACAAAATGCGGAGACAAAGAAACAGGACAAAATTGTCAATGGAAGATATAGAGTTCAGAACCACACTTTTAAGGTCTCTTCAGAACTGTTTAGAAGCCGCCGATAAACTTAATGAGATCTACAAGAAAACTAATGAGACCCTCGATCTTATATTGGGGAACCAACTAGAAATTAAGCATACACGGACTGAAATAACGAATATTATACAGACTCCCGACAGCAGACCAGAGGAGCACAAGAATCAAGTCAATGATTTGAAATTCGAGGAAGCAAAAAACACCCAACCGGAAAAGCAAAATGAAAAAAGAATCCAAAAATGCGAGGATAGTGTAAGGAGCCTCTGGGACAGCTTCAAGCGTACCAACATCAGAATTATAGGGGTGCCAGAAGATGAGAGAAAGCAAGATATTGAAAACCTATTTGAAGAAATAATGACAGAAAACTTCCCCCACCTGGTGAAAGAAATGGACTTACAGGTCCAAGAAGCGCGGAGAACCCCAAACAAAAGGAATCCAAAGAGGACCACACCAAGACACATCATCATTAAAATGCCAAGAGCAAAAGATAAAGAGAGAATCTTAAAAACAGCAAGAGAAAGAAACTCAGTTACCTACAAGGGAATACCCATACGACTGTCAGCTGATTTCTCCACAGAAACTTTGCAGGCCAGAAGGGAGTGGCAAGAAATATTCAAAGTGATGAATACCAAGAACCTACAACCAAGATTACTTTATCCAGCAAAGCTATCATTCAGAATTGAAGGTCAGATAAAGAGCTTCACAGATAAGGAAAAGCTAAAGGAGTTCATCACCACCAAACCAGGATTATATGAAATGCTGAAAGGTGTCCTTTAAGAAGAGGAAGAGGAAGAAAAAGGTAAAGATACAAATTATGAACAACAAATATGCATCTATCAACAAGTGAATCTAAGAATCAAGTGAATAAATAATCTGATGAACAGAATGAACTGTTGATTATAATAGAATCAGGGACATAGAAAGGGAATGGACTGACTATTCCTGGGGGGGAAAGGGGTGTGGGAGATGCGGGAAGAGACTGGACAAAAATTGTGCACCTATGGATGAGGACAGTGGGTGGGGAGTGAGGGCGGAGGGTGGGGCGGGAACTGGGAGGAGGGGAGTTATGGGGGGGAAAAAAAGGGAACAAATGTAATAATCTGAACAATAAAGATTTAATTAAAAAAAAAAAAAACCACAATTGGAAACTGGCCTTATTGAATTCATGCAAAGAAACCTACTGCCATGGCTCACTCATTAAAAATTGCCTAATTTTGGAGGGATCAGGTAGGGAGAAAAATATATAATTTGCCAAATTGCTTTAAAAAATGTCTCTTGCCCGACCAGTGTGGCTTGGTGGTTGAGCATCGACCTATGAACCAGGAGGTCACAGTTGGATTCCCGGTCAAGGGCACATGCCCGGGTTGTGGGCTCAATCCCCAGTAGGGGGTGTGCAGGAGGCAACCAATCAATGATTCTCATCATTGATGTTTCTATCTTTCCCTCTCCTTCTCCCTTCCTCTCTGAAATCAATAAAAATAATATTTTTTTAAAAGCCAAAAGTAGGGCAAAGATTACATAGGGAGGTAGGGATTACAGACTGGGGTGGGACTTCATTGTTTGGGCAACAAGGTTGTTCATCTTTCCATGATAATAGAAAGTCCTTGAATGAGAACCGACCACATTCCAAGGTCGACTTCCAGGTCCCAGGATGACTCCCAGATCCCGGGGGCATACAACTCCCAGCCAAGTTAGAATGTCCTTTTTTTTTTTCCCAAGAAAAACTATTTTAAATATAATAATGTTACATGCAATAAACATTAATATTGCAAGGAAAACTATTTTAAATATAATTTAATATACAACAAACATTAATATTTCAAGAAAAAAAAGATTTTAAATATATTACCCAAACTGTACTAACATAGTATAATGTCACAAAAGTTGTAGGAAATATTAAAAATATAATGTCCTTTAACCAACACATGGCAATCATGCTTAACAGAGCATGATTAATACTTCCCTTAACCATGAAGCATCCATCTTATATAAGAACTGCTGTTTGAAATTTTAACCCTGCTATTCTGGCTTTTGTCTTCAATAATAAGGAAAATAAGACTACTCCCATTCCAAAGAGGCCGTAAACTATACCCCAGAGTTGTCCGTGCTGACACCAGGCCAGGCCTTGAGATATGGTCTCATGACCCCTTCTCAGCACGTAGGCCCTCTTTCTCAGAAGGCCCAGAAGTTTCATTCCAAATTTGGGAGACAAAGGACTGGAAAAAGTATAAATAGAGAAGTTTCCTCCATGTTGGGGGGCCCAGAATTTGAAAGACACATTTTTGTCTGGGCCTGTGCAGAATTTAATAATAAAATGTAACTCCCTTTCTGGAAGCGTGGCTTGGTTTTTAACCCGGTCTTCTGCAACAACCATATCTAGTCCCCGATATTCTATTCTTGTCCCTAACAATTTCTGAGAGCCATAAAGATTTGGCTGTATGGAAAAGACGTATTGATCCTAGGAGGCCTCATCCTCCATCCACTTCCCTTTGGAACAGCAAAACAGGTCTAACTCTAGGATAGTATTAAACTTAATGGTGCCATGAAGTGGCCAAGTCTTTCCATTGCCCATTTCATAGTGAGGCTAGGTTATGTTGCAAAAGAACCTCAAGGGACTCAGGGTCAAACGTCTCCCAGTTGGCAAATATGCATCCTAAAAGGTACCTCCAGGCACTGTGGACTGGTTCCCCACCTACAAGAGATAAATACGTTCCAGGCCAAGAGTTAGAGGTGTCAGCACTAGCCTGGGCTGTTTTGGGCCATCCTGCAGGCACCTGGCACCCCAATCCTGCAGGCACCACTCTACAATTGTCCTTTGCCAGGGAACCAGGGCTTTCCATCCTGGTGACCTTCTGCACCTGGCCCATTCTCCTCGCTCTGCTTTTGGCTGGCTAACTGCCGACCACACTTATTCTATTGTACAGGGAACCTTTAGAATCATCCAGTTGCTTTTTTTTTTTTTTTTTATTGCTAGTCAACTCCAGAGTTAAGCCTGTGCGTAAACAATTAATCTAGGAAGACTATTTAATCCTAGCCTGGGATCATCAATAATCTTGATGTTAAAATTTTACTTTTGTTCGCACACGTTAAAGGACAACAAAAGGACGTATTAGAGACCAAAACATGGAAAGGTCACCTGAAACAGAATTCAAAGTCATTGCTCCCAGCCTCTCCTTTGGGGTAGTTAACGGTTCCGGTTCGAAAAAATCCCGGTCCCTCTTACATGGCTGGGTAGTGTCAGAGCAGCTAAGCACAGGGAGACCCTGAGCCAGACCCAGGCCCCCGTTTGCCCAGGCGACGAGTTGCGAGGTGGGGGCGGGAATCGAGCCCCGCTGCCCGCCCGCCAGCGCGTCCCCTTCCCCCCGGCTCCGCGCAGGGCCCGCGAGCTCGGCTCGGACACAGCGGCCAGCAGTCCGCCGCCTTCAGAACCCGCGCCAGGGCTCCGCGCGCTGGGACCTCGGGCTGAGCCCCAGGTGCAGGCGGCAGCCCGGGCCCGCCCACCTGCTGTCACGCGCGGCCTGAGCTCCGCCTCCGTCGGCGCCGCACCGCGGGCGGCGGGGTGGGCCTTGCGGCCCAACCCCAGAACCCTCCTCGGCCTCGCCCTCTAAGTCAGGCCTGCGGCGGCGGCGGGGCAGCTCCGGGGCGGGAGCTCGCGAGCAGCTCAGTCGGCGGACGGTCACCCGGCTGATCCCTCGGGCGGTCGCGCGGCGGAGTCCCAAGGCGCACGCGCGCACGCCCCCCGCGCCCCGCCTCTGCGCGCTTCCGCGTCCCACGACCCCGCGCCGCGGGCTGCTGAGTGTGGCATGCGGGACTACGACGAGGTGACCGCCTTCCTGGGCGAGTGGGGGCCCTTCCAGCGCCTCATCTTCTTCCTGCTCAGCTCCAGCATCATCCCCAACGGCTTCAACGGCATGTCCGCCGTGTTCCTGACTGCGACCCCCGAGCACCGCTGCCGGGTGCCCGACTCCGCGAACCTGAGCAGCGCCTGGCGCAACCACAGTGCCCCGCTCCGGCTGCAGGACGGCCGCCAGGTGCCCCACAACTGCCGGCGCTACCGGCTCGCCGCGATCGCCAACTTCTCGGCGCTCGGGCTGGAGCCGGGGCGCGACGTGGACCTGGAGCAGCTGGAGCAGGAGGACTGCCTGGATGGCTGGGAGTTCAGCCAGGACGTCTACCTGTCCACCATCGTGACCGAGGTGGGTTCCAGCCCCGCGCTGGGACCGAGGGCCGGGGTGTGGGGAGGTCCTTCGCAGTCTTTGAGCTCACGCACTTCATCTGGGCAAAGTGCGCGCTGTTGTCACTCCTATTCCCCCATCCCACTGCGCGCTGGTGATGATCATCCATCCTCCGGCCGGGTGGCTTGGGAACGCTTTGCGCGGTGACTTCCAGCCAGAGACGCCCTCTCACAGCAGAGTGTCAAACGGTCCATCTGTCCTGATGGCCAGCTTGGGGAGGGAGCCAAGAAGGCCCTGGTGGCCCGGCCCGCACGAGGTGCTCTAAAGCCCTGAGTGGTCAAAGGCCTCCTCTAGTTGGGATGAGAGTGTGGAGGAGCAGATCCAGGGCTTGAGACACGGGTCCGTCGCCGTTTTTCAGCCAGCCTCTTGGCATCAAAATGCTCCCTTTCTTTCCCGAACTTTTAAACTTAAGGGAAGCATGTGTATAAAACTGTTTCTTGCTCCCTTTTCCAGTTACTCCTTCCCCACCCACCCTCACCCCAAAATGACAGTCTGAGCATGCCCTCTAAGGAACTGTTTACTTTTTGCTGATAGTTGGTTATCAACCTGTTAGTTTCTATGCATCTGAATGAAGATATCTGTTCAGAGTGACTTGTTGCCCAGAAATGTTGTCACAAAGCATACAGCTGTCATTCCTAGACAGACAGGAGAAACCTGTCTGTCTCATTCCCCAGCCCCTTGGGGTTTTGTTCTGGGTGGCTTTGTCTGTCCCCTGGCAACCCCGCGTCACTAGAACCAAATGTATAACATGATGTTAATGGATGAGTGTGGATGTGCTTTGCATCTTCCTAAGACTCCGGCACTAACTGCTTGGAGCCTCAGAACAACTAAGCAAGCAGGGCAGTGAGAGAGCCCTCCTTGATGGGCACCAGGACTGCAGGGTCAGGGATTTGCAGATTAGGGACGGCTTCCCGAAAGATGAAGCCTCTCCGTGAGTCTGGGGTGTTCATGTCAGCAGATGCAAAGTCTGAAACAGCAAGAAACGGCCTAGAAGGAAGGCAGAGTTCAGAGGGGGAGGGGAGGGCTGAAGGGGATCGCCACTGGGATCTCAAAACGAGTGACATGACATCATTCTAGTGTCCTGAGGTGTTGACAAGAGAGACACTGAATGGAGAGACACTGTGCTTTGTGGCCTAAGATTCCAGGGAGAATCACAACTTTCTGTCATCACAGATCCTCAGCCCTAGCCTCGCAAGCAAGTCTGTTACCTTCCTGGAAGCCAGTGAGAGTTGTGAAAGCAGAGACTGTCCATCTCCTCTATACAGGAGGCCCTACAAATTCTGCTTCTAGCTGCTCATGGAAGGGGGAAAGTCAGAAGAAGCTCATGGCACCTCTGGACTTTACCCCGATCCCTCGTATCCCTCGTATCCCTTGACTTAACTCTTGTCATCTGCTCTTGTTTTACTGCCTTCATCCTGCCCTGGGCTGAGAGTGGTGGTGGTACTGATGAGCTCCTGCCAGAGGGGTCCTTAGCTTAAGTTGCTACCAGTGTCAGCTTTTTCATTTTTATATTTAGCCTATGTATTTTACTGTCTTAGCAGTTTCATAAGAGCTGTGTGCCCTTTCACCTACTGACAGGTTGTCAGTCTTTGCTGGGAGGCCAAATTAATACCTTACTTAGCCCTTTGTTTGGAGATGCTGGAATGCCTGACTTGACATTCAGAGCTGCTTGTTCCTCAAGCTGTTGCATTAACATTCTGACTCCATTTTTCTAAGGCCCATTTTCTTTTCCACTCAGACCTGGCGTGATGACCACTGCAGCTAGTCCCAGGTCTGCCCTCTGCCCCACATCATATGTAGAGTACACGGATACTGAATTCTTAGTCGTTTTTTTTCAACAGAAGATGAAAACTTCAGGTCTCCTGTGTGATTGTTGCCTCTTTTGAAATTAAAGTGTGTATGTGTAAGTACTAAAGTTGGTGTTGGATTTACATCTTTGCTTCTCCTGCAGGTCCTAACATGATGCTGGATACAGAGTGTGGGTACGCAGGAAAATTGTTGTTGAATGGATTAATGGATAACTTAAGAACTATTTTCTAACGTTTGAGAATTGAGGAAGAAAAGGATAATTTAATTCACAGCAGGAAATTTGAGAGTGGTTGAAAAGCTTTGACTGAAATATTTTAAAGGAAATGTAATCTCCCATCCCAGGGACTGGGGCATGTGACAAGGGACTGGGATTGGCAGAAAGAAGGGGACACTGAAATGAGATTGCTCTCCCATGTTTCAGGAACAGTTTGGGGGTCCACGTGCTTCTAGGCTGGCCCCTTCTCTGGCCCCTCAGTCATCCCTGGAGTTGGAGAGTCAGCCACCCCACCTTGCTGTGCTGCTCCAATCCCCGAGTGCTTCTTGACTCAGGACTGCCCCCTCCTCTGAGAACCTGGGTGATTTCTTACACTGCCTGGGCCTCCTGCTTTTTGGTGTCTCCATAGCCCAGCCTATAGCCAGAAAAGTTCCTTAGAAACTTCTAGCTTTTGCACCCATGAGTTGGAGTCTGTTCAGCTAAGGCCTAGCAGTCCTCTTTGTCCCCTTGCCTTCTGCCTGTCTCTGCTTCCCAGAAGCCCCCTGCCCCAGCCTTTGGCAGCACAATGACTTTCTCCCTGTTGTCCTAGAAAGCTGCTTTCTCTGGACTAGCTTTTCTGTCAGCCTTATGTCATACATAGATAGCCTTGTAAGATAGGAGCGCCCCCCACTGTTATCCACAAGCCACATCACCTGAAGGAAAGGCCACATCAACCGGGGAGGTGGGGCTGGGCTGACTCTAGGGTGGAGGGACAGACCTTGAGCTTGCGCCTCACCGCTATGCCCTTGCTGATTCAAGGGGAGCACAGACGCTTATCCTGCGTTTGTAGCTCTGGAAAGCCAAAGAAGACCCTTGTTGGGTCCCCTGAGGCCCCCTGTGTGCATGCAGTCATACCAGACCCATGTGGCCCTGAGTGAACAGATTGAGCCCCTCTCTAGATGGCTGAGAACCCACACTCTGGGTCAAAGTTCTGACAGTTGACACAGGGAAGGGGCTGAGGAAGCAAAGAAAATCTAGAGATCAAAGTTCAGGGTTCATCCGGGCTTTGGGCAGCCAAGCCCAAAGAATACTATGATGTTGAAGATTCACAGCCCTTTTTTTCGTCTGTTCGCTCACTCACCTATCTACCAAACAGCTACTGAGCCTCACCTGTGCAGGGCACTGCCAAGCATTATAGTGTTTATGGTAGCAGATACTTCTCCTTGCCAGCCGTGGGGCAAGGATTTGTCATTAATTGCAGCAGGAAGCCGAACTAAATGTGTATAGGAGTACGTGGCATTCAGCAACAAGTGATTCTTACCAGTTTATTTGACCGTTGAAGCAGTCAGGCTAGGCACATCTCAGGGAAGAGCTTCTGCCCTATGGGCACAAACGCTGTATCTTTTTCCTTCTAGCCAACTCACAGGCAAGAACATTTAGTTCTAGGTAAGAACGTTTAGAATCTATTTCCTATAACCAAGAAGCAGCACCAATTACATACTACATACAAGAGACACACTTCTCTCTCTTAAAAATTTTAGCAATTCTATTGAAGTATAAGTGACATAAACTGTACATAGCTAAGTGTGGAATATGAAAACTTTCATGCAAATTAACAGCCAGTGCAGCCCATCCAATGCACCAAGTGGAGGCATCGATGAGCTGGTCTGGAGCTGCTTTAGTCATGGCTGGGGAGCCAGGAGCTCAGTGTAGGAACACTGGATTCCTCTGTGCATATCATCCCACCCCTTCTCATCCCACCCCTCCTAAGGAGGATTCAGGCCAAATCCTAAGTCCACTGCAGACCATTTGACAGGTGAGTGGATAGGTTGGCGAGGTGCCTGCCCCTGTGTTCATTTTTTGAGACCTGTTACCTGTCCTGACCCTGCACATAGTCGTCCTCCTCCCCCTCCCCCCATGTGACCAGTAGGAAGTGTTAGCCCATGTTTGCTTTTGGAAGGCCCAAGCCAGGCCCTGAGAATTGTCAAGAATTGTTAGTGGTGGATTGAGAGTTCAGTTACTCCAGGGAGTTACACACTTGCCCAGAATAAGGACAGGTTGAATCAAGTGGCAGCTGTGGGAGCTGGAGACATGATCTGGGGACCTATCCCAACATGAGCATTAGTCACCTTGTCTCCTTGCCAGTCCAGATTTCTCTAAAAGCCTATATTGGGAGACCTGACATGGGTTGGGGGGACTATCACCCCAGAACTCACTGCAGAAGCCCCTGTGGATTCCTAGTGTAGCTCAGCTATATTATTCCCTAACCCTCACAGGAGACCTGTTGAGAAACAGCTACTGAGTCTTTATTTTTTCATCTCTGTTGCTACAAACGTAATGTGTGCTAGCTGGAGTAGATCCCATCGCATTCAAGAGCAGCAGCAGCCATGATCTGGCCCCTGAAGCTCTGCCTCGCACCCTACCTAATACCAGAGGCCAGCACCCATCACCGAGTCCCTCAGCTCTCTTCCCTGCTGCTCCATCCTGACTTTAGCAGCCATGTCTGGATGGGGATATCTGGGTACTGGCACCACTGAGGCTGTAGATGAGGAAGGTTGCCATAACCCAAGAATTCAAGCCTTAGTGTTTTGAAATTCTGGCCTCCTTGCTAGCCTGGAGTTCCTCTAGATGTAGGAATTGGAGACCCCCAATTCTGCCCTGGGTTAGGGGCCACCAACCCATTCTCAGCCCATCCAAAGTGCCAGAGTGGAGAGCCAGCTATGTGGCTGAGCCATCCTTATCAATAGCAGCAGGGATTTTCTTGTCCAGCCTGGGGCTGCCCTCCCACCCTTCTAAGGAGCCCTGAGGCTGTGTGCACACATTGCCCAGCAGAGCAGAGAAGTAGACTTGTTTTCCCTTCTCACTTAGCCTGGAAGAGGTGCTTTGTTCTTGGGAGCCACGCATTCCCACTGCTTCTCTGTGTTGCTGGGGAGACTGCAGACTCCATGGAGGGCAGGCCAGCAGCCTGGCGTCAGGCAAGCAAGAATGCCCTGGCAGGTGGCCTGCTTGGTTACTGCAGAGCGCCATCTCTCTGTTCTGGGAAACATTTTCCTGGGAACCACCAAGCTTCCTGTTTTGGCTTTTCTTCCTCGTTTTGGCTCCTTGTTAGGCTGGAGAGACTTCACATCTGAGTGTTCAGCTGCTTCTCCAAGCCTGCAGACCTCTTTTTATGATAACCATAGACAAAACGACATATTGGGTGCTGGGAAACTCAAGCCATGTAGCCTGTTACCTACCCCAACCCTTGTTTTACAAAAGACGAAAGGTACAATGAGGAGGGAAATCTTGTCTGAGATTGGATAACCAGTTAACAGTAGACTAGAAGCTAAACCCCAGTTTCTTGACATCCAGCTCAGAGCTCTTGGCTGTAATCAGGCCTAGTGTTAATGCAGCATCAGGGATCCCAGCTCTAAATATCACCAGAAGGTCCAAGAAGTCATTGGCCCAGGGTGGGTGGGGACCTGAGCAGAGCGGAAGGAACAGGTTCACATGGTGCATTTCAGGCCCCCTGGCCTCGGCTCCTTGCCAGATGCCTTGACCCTTAGAGCCCCATACCCCTGCTCAGAACCACTCCTGTGCCATCCTGCCAATGACCCAAACCCCACTGAAAGGGTTCCCTGCCCGTCCACAACCCTGGGCTCGGCCCAGATTCTTCTAAGTGACCATGAGAGGCCTTGCCTTCTCTTGGGTTAGAACATGGGCAGAGTACTTGCTCCCTGCTGCTCCCTTTCTCAAATTAGAAGCAAAACAATGGGGCCAAAAGCTATGAAAAACCAGACGGGGCGGGAGCCCAATCTTCATGTGAGGGGAGCCTCCTCCCTGCCTTGCTGCCCAGATCATTCATTGCTGCCTAAACGGACTCACACCCACATAGTCATGTAAACGGAGTGCAGGAATACAGGATGTTCTGATTTCATTTTCCAAGAAAGTTTAAATTTAAAACATTTTTAATAGAAGTGAATGATACATCCCTTTGCTCCTTTTACAGTGGAACCTGGTGTGTGAGGACGACTGGAAGGCCCCGCTCACGGTCTCCTTGTTTTTCGTGGGTGTGCTGATAGGCTCCTTCATTTCGGGGCAGCTCTCAGACAGGTAAGGTGGGTGTCTGTCTCCTGCAGTGGTAGGGGACCCCAACACTGAGCAAGGAGTGTGTGTGTGTGTGCCTGGCCCATGACTTCAAGTGGAAGTGTCTTTCAGCCCAGGGCCTTGCATTTTAAAAGAAAGGGAAGCCTGACCTATAGTACGGACACCACACCAAGTAAAGAGAGCCAACAACCTCCTCCCCCTAACTCTTGCCAAACAAAACAACCTGAGCTGAGTGTATCCATGCAGGATCAGCTGGATTTGACCAGGAAATATGCCATGATTTATTTCTGCACTAGTCTGGCTGTCCCTCCCTAGATGAGCATGACTCTTTCATGTTCCCAAGCATGGGAGAGGTAGACAACACACACACACACACACACACACACACACACACACACACACACACTGTATTGTAGATCTTAAGGCATACCATGGATGGCTGCTGCCATATTCCCAAAACCACCGCTCTCTCTACAAGGTAAGAGAGGATCTCTATAGCCAGTAGGGACGTGATGGTCAGAACCTGTGTCCACAGGACTGATGCGCCTTAGCTAAGAGGCCTGTGCTTATGGCACTTACTTCACAACAGGCAGAAAATGTGCTATTTTCACCCATAAGCAGATTGTTTATGGAATTCCAAGGCTGTTAACTCAAGGTCCATTTATGACTTAGGGAGTTCATGTACTCTTGACATTATAGGCACAATTTTAGAGATTGTATGTGAGCATTTAGAGAGGTCCGGAGTTTCTGTGAAGTTCTCAGAGGGGTCCGTTATATTATCTCCCTATTCTGGAGCTGCGGGGTCTGTTGGAGAAGCCCAGGACAAAAAGAGTGGCCTTCAGCAAGGTCCTTGGCTGCACTGCGTCACCCAGTGGAGAGGAGTCCCGGCATCATCCCAGCTGGTTGGGTTCTCTAATAGAGAAGTTCAGGATTAGACTGTCATCCTATATAATAAAGAGGTAATATGCAAATTGACCATCACTCCAACACACAAGATGGCCACCCCCATGTGCACACAAGATGGCCAGCAGGGGAGGGCATTTAGGGGGGACCAGGCCTGCAGGGGAGGGCAGTTGAGGGGGAGGGGACCGGCCTGCAGGGGAAGGTAGTTGGGGAGGACCAGGCCAGCAGGGGAGGGCAGTTGGGTGCAACCAGGCCGGCAGGGGAGGACAGTTAGGGGTGAACAGGCCTGCAGGGGAGGGCAGTTGGGGAGGACCAGGCCAGCAGGGGAGGGCAGTTAGGGGCGACCAGGTTGGCAAGGGAGGGCAGTTAGGGGTGACCGGGCCAGCAGGGGAGGGCAGTTGGGGGCGACCAGGCCTGCAGGGGAGGACAGTTAGGGGCGATCAGGCAGGCAGGGGAGGGCAGTTAGGGGCAATAGGGCCAGCAGGGGAGTAGTTAGGTGTCAATCAGGCTGGCAGGGGAGTGTTAGGGGGTGATCAAGCTGGCAGGCAGAAGCGGTTAGGGGCAATCAAGTAGGAAGGCAGGCGAGCGGTTGGGAGCCAGCAGTCCTGGATTGTGAGAGGGATGTCCGACTGCCCATTTAGGCCCGATCCCAGTGGGGTCCCAGATTGGAGAGGGTGCAGGCTGGGCTGAGGGACACACAACTCCCCACCCATGCACGAGTTTCGTGCACCAGGCCTCTAGTATTACACAAGAACAAAGCCATTTTATCCTGTAGCACTGATTCAGGGTGATATTTTGGCAGGTTTACACCTATGGATTATTATCCTTAACTGAGGAGTCTTTACTCATGAAAAATACATGCATTTCTCACTAGATTTGTCTTTTCCAGAGTATCATCCAGCAATTTAAAAAAAGGGACAAATTCCAGTAGTCACCAGAGAGCATTAAGAGTTAAGTAGGCCATCACCGTTAACTGGTGATTCTAGACAAGCCATAGACACTTGTCCTTTTGGGGGAAGGGCCTATGCTCCCCCAGATCTTTTATCTAGCAACAAGCATCAGCTGATTACTGATATATATTTAACAAACACATGGAACTTAATATGTGCCAGACACTCTTATAAGCACTGTACCGAGTAAACAATAATAATGATTTAATCTTCATAACCCTGTGAAGTAGGAAGCATCAGTATTCTCATTTTACAGATGGGGAAAATAAAACCCAGAGGAGTTCAGTGACTTGCCCCAGCGTCACACAGCCAGCAAGTGGCAGAGCTAGGATTTGGGTCCAGATAGTCTTGATCCTCTGCATTGCGTGGGCCCTACTCTTCTAGAACTTGCCTCCTAGCAAGGCAGAATGTCCTAAACAACTAATTGAGGGGAGCACTTGTTATTCTCAGTGGTAGTAAGTGATACAGAGGAGATGTGCACATGCTAAGAGAGTCTGACAGGGGGCCAGTAGAGGGTGCCCCAAGGAGGCAAAGCATGCACTGGGAGTTGAAAGATGAGTAGAAATTAGCCAGCTAAGGGAATGGAGGGAGGAAAAAGCATTCTGGGTGCAAGAGAGCAGCATGAACTTAAGCCTAGACTAAAGAAAAGGCATAATAGCATATGTTAGGAACTGGAAAAATGTCCTCTGTGATGGAGATGTGGAGAGTGGTTAGAGACGAGCAGTGAGGCAGGCAGAGGCCCAGGTAGAAGAGCAGATGGGAGTAGCAGGTGATAGTTAGGAGCTTGGACTTTAGTCATAGAGCACTGGGGAGCCATTGAGAGTGTTTTCAAGCTTGAGTGTGACATAATCAGATTTGCAATTTTTAAAAGATTATGTGATAAACTTTGTGGAGAAAGTATTGAAAGGAGAAACAAGAGAGGGATTGTAGAGAGACTAATTAAGAGGTTATCACAATAATTTATGCATGAGATGGTGGTGGCTTGGACTAGATTGCAGGTGGTATAAATGGGGAGGAGTGGTAGGAGGTAAAGCCAAGAGGACTTGGCTATGGGTTGGATGCGGGAAATGAGGAGAGGAAGGTTTCTGGTCTACACAACCGGAGGGATGACAATACCCTTCTCTAAGACAAATAACTCTGGAAGAGGGGACGGTGGTGAGTTCCATTTGAGCATACTGAATGTGGGGTGATTATGAGACTCCTAAGTAGAGGAATTAAGTATGCACTTGCAAATATGGATATAGTGCTCCATGAGAGGTTTGGACTGGAGAAGCACGTTTGGGAATTAACAGCTCATAGAACCCTCATCACAGTCCCAAACATGGATGAGATTGCCTGGCGGGAATGTAGAGTGAGAAGAGGGGACTAAGCTTAGAGGCCCTCCAAGTGGGAAATACCCTCTCTCTGAGTTGAGTGGCAGCCGAGACTCAGAGTAATTACTTGGATATAAACAGGGAGAAGGTACCCCAAGCTCAGAGTTGAAACGCAGTGCATTTTTCTGGATTAACTGCATCATGGGTTGGGTAGGTCTTTGTGGGATAGCCTAAAAACCTGATGGCCGTGTAACATCCTGACTACCTAAGGAAAGTGTTTAAGTTCCAAAGGATCGTCCAAGTCAACAGAAATAAAACATTAATGAGTATGGAAAAAAACAAACACCAATGAGTATGTTAAGGACTACATTAGTCTTTAGAAGTGCTAGTAGTGTTTTTCAAAACTTAAAAAAAAATTGTCAGCAGACTTATTTTAAGTAGTATCATTTGAGTCCAGTAAATGAAACAACTAGAAGTATGGCTGTTCTGGTTGTAGCCCCTACCATCAGCCCTTAGCACCACCCCCACGGGAGGCCCAGGGCTCTGTGGAGTGGACAGTTTCTCTTCTCATTACCTCTGAGTCAACCAGTTCAAAACCTAAGTCAGACAAATTACCTAAGTGCAATAGATTCATTACCTCAACTTGTCTAGGATACCAGTAGTAACTTTTTATGTAGGACAAAGGTTTAACCTTCATGAATAAGTAAGGCTGAAATTCAAGAGCAATACAATAATCTTGGGGACAGAGACATAGAAGCATCGAACAGACCATCAAACCTCAGAGGGAAGGCAGGGGAGGGTGAGAGGAGAGATAAGAGATCAACCAGAGGACTTGTATGCATGCATATAAGCATAACCAATGGACACAGACAGTAGGCGGGTGAAGGCATGTGCTGGGGGGTGGGAGTGGCCGGGGAGAGGTCAATGGGGGTGGGGGGCGGAGGGAGGAGCATAAGTAATACTTTAAACAATAAAGAATTTAAATTTTTAAAAAATCTTGGATTGTCAAAGCCTTTTATCTGACATTGAGTTAGTTTTATGTGCATGAATTATGAGAGGCACAACTCTGGGAAGAAGTAGACTGGTATTTCCTGGTTTTGTAGGCACGTATATGTTTGATGTTTGGTTTGGTTGACATATTTTATTTATTTTACTTTTTTGTTGACATACATTAAAAGTGAGTGTTTCTGGGCCCAACCCGGACTGCCAAGGGGCTGGTACTATGCCAGGATTCCCTGGATCTTTCTCTTTCCCATCATCCCAGGGAGCCCTTGGGCGGGGAAGGCAGGGATAGAGGTTACAGCTCTGCCTGCAGGAGGGCTGCCCTTGGACGGCATGGAGGGTGCTCTGTAAAAGAAAGGCCAGAAGGGGGTGTGGGGAACAAAGTCTGCTTCTAATGTCAGGGTTTCCCCATCTTCACACTATTGACATTTTGAGCCAGAGGATTCTTTGTTCTGGGGGACTATCCTGGGCTTTTTAGGATGTCTAGACCATCTCCAGCTTATGTCTACTACTATATGCCAGTAGCACTAGCCACCCCCTCAAAAACAAACAAATAAAAACCCCCATCGCAGTAAGTAGAAACACCAGCTCTTCAGTGCAGTGTAGGTCCTGCCACCCTGCAGTACCCTGGTGAGCAGCTGACTCCAGCCACAGTTGTGTGTTCTCCTCTTAACCACCCTGCCCCCAGGGCCTTCCTTGACCTTGCAGGCTAACTCAGAGTCCCTGGTTTACATTACCTTGGTTCCTTGTGCCTTTCCTTCAGAAATTGCTAAATAGCCCTAGCTGGTTTGGCTCAGTGGATGGAGCGCTGGTCTTTGGACTGAAAGGTCCCAGGATCGATTCCGGTCAGGGCACATGCCCGGGTTGCGATCCCCTGTAGGGGGCATGCAAGAGGCAGCCAATCAGTGATTCTCTCTCATCATTGACGTTTCTATGTCTCTCTTCCTCACTGAAATCAATAAAAATATATATTTTTTTAAAAAATTGCTAAAGAAAAGGTGTTCTCATGTAATTAATGGTCTCTTTGCTATATTGTGAGTATCATTGGAAGCTTGGTCCCTATCCTTACTCCCCCTTGTCAACAAGTACTTTTCTTTAGGGCCTCATCTCAATGTCCCATCATCAGGGAGACCTTCCCTGAATGCCTCCATCCCCAGCCCCTACCCCCAGTCCAGGGTAGGTTCCTTTGTTGTACACTTGAGGACCTGGGTGCTGATCCTTCAGTGCACCTACCTTAGTGTGTAACTGTACTTTCAGTAATGTGTTTATTTGACTAAAATGTGATCACTGCCCAGTTGGGTAGCTCAGTTGGGTGAGCATTTTCCTTGCACCAAAAAGGTGGCAGGTTCGATTCCAGTCAGGGCACATACCTAGGGTGTGGGTTCTATCCCAGGTTGGGACACATACGAGAGGTAACCAATTGATGTTTCTCTCTCACATCGATGTTTCTCTCTCCCTCTCTCTCTCAAAAGTGATCACTGTCTATTTCACTACCTATCCTATATAATAAAAGGCTAATATACAAATTGAGTGAATGGCAGAACGACCGCCGCTATGACACGCACTGACCACCAGGGTGCAGATGCTCAATGCAGGAGCTGCCCCTTGGTGGTCAGCATAGCAGTGGTGGCGGGAGCCTCTCCCACCTCCGTGACAGTGCTAAGGATGTCCGACTGACATCTTAGGCGGGGAGTGGGCCTAAGCTGTCAGTCGGACATCCCCTGAGGGTTCCAGGACTGCGAGAGGGCGCAGGCTGGGCTGAGGGTGCCCCCCCCCCCCAGTGCACGAATTTCGTGCACCAGGTCTCTAGTAAACTATAAGCTCCATGAGGGCAGAAACAGCATCTTTTTTTTTAATAAGCATCTTTTGGGGGGGCTACCCTGGTGCCCAGGCTGTGGAGGCAGGGAGGATAAAAGCATAGGGACTGGGAGACTGGTACCCTAGCAGTACTGTCCACCACCCATCCCTGAATGGTCCTGGAGAAAGCCCCTCTTGGTGGAGCCCCTTCCTACCGCCTTCTCCCTGCTGGTTCTGTCACTCCGCTTTCTTTCCCAGGTTTGGTCGGAAGAACGTGCTGTTTGTGACCATGGCCATGCAGACAGGCTTCAGCTTCCTGCAGATCTTCTCCAGCAACTTTGAGATGTTTGCCGTGCTGTTTGTCCTTGTAGGCATGGGCCAGATCTCCAACTATGTGGCAGCATTTGTCCTGGGTATGGCCATCAAGTTGGAGTTGAGTACTTGATCCTGTGTTTCACCATCGTCTCACCACCACTTTCTGGAGACATCCGTGATGTCCCTCAAGGGGAAGTGGTCTCTGGCAACACCAACCAGGGCTTCTTAGAGAACCCAGTTTGTAGGCAGGGAATCTGAGTCCACCAAGTACCCAGCCTTGGGTCCCCAGCAGCGTGTAGCCTACCTGCTGTATGCCAGTTCTCTTCTGGCCTCTGAGGAGTGGCTCCTTGGTTTTATTAGGACTTGATGGCCATTTCACTATACCCCACCCCAGATCCTTCATCCAACAAAAAGGGCCTGCCACTGCCCAGGGCTGAGGTAGCTAAGGAGAGAGGGAAGTATGACATGAGGAACAAAGGCCAAGGAAGAAATGGCCCCCAGCAAAACACTGGCAGTGAAGTTGACTATCAAGAATGAATTGATAGGATCAGGCTTTAGCCATGTGACCTTTGGGTTTTAATTAAGAATTCACACTGCGGGGCTTTTGCCTGTTCTCACTGAAAAGTTACCAGTCTCACTGTTTGGAGGAATCTAACTCTAGCTTATCGGTCTCTCAGTTGTACTGTTGAAAGGATTATTTCTTTCTCTTCACACTTAACAGAATATTTTTTCCTTAAAGGATAGCAGTCAGCCTGTGCAGCCTTAGTAATGACTTCCCCTTTAATGGATTCTTCCTCCTGTGAGGGTTACATTTGGAGGCCTAACGTGGCATCTTTAGCATATGGCTTCAGGAAGTGATGACATTTTCATGAGAGAACTGTCACCGAGAGGCCACAATGAGGCACGCCCAGCAGATAGTCAGACCAGGCTGGGTTCAGAATCCCATCTCTCTCGAGGGCTTAGAAACTTAGAAATAATTCTGGCAGCTTTCTTGTCTTTCTGTTGACAAGAGAAGATGAATAAGGAAATAACCTAAATTAAAATGCTAACATGACTCCTCCCTTGCTTTGAACAGGAACAGAAATTCTTGGCAAGTCCATTCGTATTATATTCTCTACGTTAGGAGTGTGCATATTTTATGCAATTGGCTACATGCTGCTGCCACTGTTTGGTTACTTCATCAGAGACTGGCGGATGCTGCTGCTGGCGCTGACATTGCCGGGGCTGCTGTGCGCAGTGCTCTGGTGGTGAGTGTGCCCAGGGGTAACACCCACAGGGGATCTTCCGTCTTCCATCTGGCCTTCACTAAGGGGCAGCAGCAACCCACAAATCCCTATTTGGGCTCCCAGAGACAGGAAGTGTAAATTACAGTCAAATTTTGTTCTCAACCAAGTTGTTGGGGGTGCGGAGAGGGGCAGAATTGTCTCCCTTTTCAAAACTTCAGTTCTTGACCTCACAAGCCTTTCGTGCTGATACATCCATATGGCAAAAGCCACTCTCCGGCCACACACAAAGGAGAGAACGCGGGTCAGCTTACCACGAAATCTCCCTGAACCTGCTGTTAATAGCTCAGGAAGTCGTGCTATGAATATCTTCATGGGGTTTTGTTGTTGTTTTTTTTTGCTTTTGTTGCTGGTGGAAAGGACAACTAGCACACCTTTAAAACATATACAAGATGCCATCAAGTGTGCTGTTGTTGCTAAGGGTGTGAACGTGCTCACAGAATTCCGATCACAGGGGACTGAAGAGGTCGGAAACTATTGTTGATTTGAGTAAACGAAAAGCAGAAAGCCGTTACCTGCTGACAATATTTAGGAGACAGTGATATGTGAAAAGTGAAGATGCTGCACACCTACTTCCTGAGAGACGCCCATGGAACTAGTGCTGAAAATGATCCGATGAAGGCTAGTAGGGTGTGGTTCCATCAATTCAAGAAGTGTTTATAGATTAAACAGTACACATAAGAAAGGTTAAAGCACAGACTCATTTGGGGATTTGGGATGGATTCATTCCATTTACATTATTTCTAGGGGGGGAAAAATGATTCAGTTTTCCAACAAATCCCATCTCAAACAGCTTTCCAAAATGAATTAAGTTTCAAGAACCAAGGTTCCACTGTATTTGTAAGTTACTTTAGAATGTTTTCTCCATACTCAGAAAAGCCAAAGGCAAAACAAAATCCCAGGCATCAGTGGACTTGTTCTCAGCCCTGTGCTGGGTTATTCAGAGTTCAGGGAGAGGAAGAAGCAGCATCTTCTCTGAGAGATGAGCATCTTCTCTGTGAGATGACAGGGTCCTCCCTGGCCTCCAGGAAGTTATCCGACTACAGACTAGATGGCTAAGGCCCTGCTTCTGGCTGTGTGTTGCCACCAAGGCTTCATGACACAGGCACTGGGAGAAGAGGAAGAGCGATGGAAGCGAGAGTTCCCAGGGTGGCCACACAGAAGAAGCCAGGCTCCATCTGAGCCTCCAACACAGAGGAGTTGGACAGGCAGAGGGGAGGCCATTCCTTACCAAGGGAGGGAACACAGCAGAGGGGCTGAGGCGGGAATCGCCCCTAGCAGGTGGGGATGTTGAGGGCACTGCCCCACATGTTGTGAACATTCCAGGGCATTTGGGAAAGGATACAGAGCTCAGCATGGGTCCTGGTCCTGACCCAAAGGCTGGGGCTACCTGCTGAGGTAGAAATTAAGATCCACATACTCTCAGAGCACCCAGATGCCTTAGTAAGTGTAGGTTGAGAGTCTGACAAGTCAATTGGGTGAATCAGGTGGAGATGAGGAAAAACTAGAGGCTAAGAGGCCAGTGTAGAAACTTCTGTGGATGCCAGGAACAAGCAGAGGAGTACAGGTGGGCAAGGAGCTGGGCTGGGCTGAGCTCACACACAAGCCAGGCTTTGGGAGCCCAACTTGCCTGGTCTCCTTAATGTCCAGCAGGTGGCACCACTGCTCCTCAGAAATGGAGATGGCCAGCCAGTGGAGGCATCCCATCATGGTGAGCAGGCCCTTCCAAATTTTGTGCACTCCAGTGTACTCAAAAGCTCACACGTCAGGTCATTATTGGGTGTGGCATAGATGGTCTCTTTGCTTCTGACTTGGAAACACCAAGTATTCCCCAAACCTAGCTCTGGTTCTGAGGCCCCATTTCCCACCTGGACCCCATTTTACATCTTGTTTGTTAAGCAGGAATGCCTCAGTGAGATTGCTTCTTTTACTTCAGGTTCATCCCCGAGTCCCCCCGATGGCTCATCTCTCAGGGACGATTTAAAGAGGCAGAGGTGATCATCCATAGGGCTGCCAAAATCAATGGGATTGTTGCACCCTCAGCCATCTTTGAACCAAGCGAGGTAAGCCCTGTATGGGAGCTGGTGGGAGGGTCTCCGTGCCATGGTTTGAGGGCAGCATTACAAAGGTCAGAAGCTCAGCCAAGTCAGTGTGGCTCAGTGGTTGAGTGTCGACCTATGAACCAGGAAGTCACAGTTCGATTCCTGGTCAGTGCACATGCCCAGATTGTGGGTTTAGTCCCCACTAGGAGTTCTGCAAGAGGGAGCTGATCAGTGATTCTTGCTCATCATTAATCTTTCTCTCTCTCTCCCTTCCTCTCTGAAATCAATAAAAATATATTAAAAAGCCCTAGCAGGTTTGGCTCAGTGGATAGAGCATAGGCCTGCAGACTGAAGGGTCCAGGTTCGATTCCAGTCAAGGGTACATGCCTGGGTTATGGGCTCAATCCCCAGTAGGGGGCATGCAGAAGGCAGCTGATCAATGATTCCCTCTCATTGATGTTTCTATCTCTCTCCTTCTCCCTTCCTCTCTGAAATCAATAAAAATACATTAAATAAAAATATATATATTAAAAAAATACAAAAGACCAGAGGCTCTCCCTTCACACAGGAGCCCTGCCCTCTCCCTGCCTATGCCCCAGGTGCCCAGGCAGGCCCTATTAAATTTCAGAAGCTGAGCCCAGCCGGTGTGGCTCAGTGGTTGAGCATCGACCTATGAATCAGAAGGTCACGGTTTGATTCCTAGTCAGGGCACATGCCTGGGTTGTGGGTTCAATCCCCTGTGTGCAGGAGGCAGCCAATCAATGATTCTCTCTCATCATTGATGTTTCTCTTTCTCTCTCCCTCTCCCTTCCTCTCTGAAACAATAAAAATGAAAAATTTCAGAAGCTGAGAAGCAGGTGCTAACTGCCTAAATCTCTTCACCTTTCTTGTGGAAATTAGGTTTTCTTACTTTATACACTTCTTTTCTAGGCAATCATATAATCTTACCATTACTTGTAACCATAAGCACTCTTTATGAGTAAGGGGCTAAGTAGTCTCCAATCGTAAAAATAATAATGCAGTTTGTAAAACAGGAAGCAAACACAGTTTGGAGTTAGAAGTGTTCGGTCTCCTCCTGTGGGTAGTTGTTGCATGACCCTGGAGCCAGGTCCTTTTTGGTGTCGGACCCTTTCTTTGTCCCAACCCACCTCCCAGCAAACCCTGTTCTCACGCCGTGAGTAACCTCCTGGCCCTGCCTGATTCCCGGGTCTTGCTTCTTCCTGTTCTCCCAGAGCGTCCACCCTCTGCAGCAGGCAGTTCTCTTCAGTCTCGTGACAGTGAGAAGAGGTCAGACGTTGTAGTTGCTGGCTGCTACAGTTCTGGAATGTGTGTCTGATCTGACAGGAAGATAGGGGACCAGCTGTGAGAACAGCCACCGGCACTCACGCTGAAGTGTGTGGAAGGCACGTTAGAGACACTCGGGCCTCAGAGATGCCGAGTGGGGGTTTGGGGAAGAGGCCAGTTCTACGCAGCAGAGAAGCGGCTGGCCCCCCCGCCAGCCCGGCCAGCCTCGCAGCTGAGTGGCGGCCCAGCAGCCGCTCCCTCCAGCACAGTTGGAAAGGGCAGGAGTGGATGGCAGAGAGGGCTTTTCAGAGAAGCGGCTTTGGTGGCTTTTCAGTGAGGGGTCAGTTTGGGTGAACCCATGGTCCCACTGGCATCCTTGAGGAAATGAGGCTATTCAGGGGATCCATTAAGTCTAAAGTTGACCTTGTGTTGAACTGCTAACGCTGGGAAAACAAGCTCCAAAGCTGGGTTTGCTTAAGAAAGAAACATCAGTGTGTTTAGACGTGTGGTTTATGAATGTCCTTGGCTATGCTGAATTTCATAGGAAGTCACTCTGGGTGAAGCCGAGGTCAATTTTCCTGTTTTTCTATCTGAAATGTTTTTGTTTTTGGAAGTAGACCAGAGACTACATGGTATGAAGACTCAAAACATTAATTCTTCTAAAATAGCAGATCAATAAACTGCACAGCCAGTTTCTCTCTCTGACCCAGAGGGCAGGGATCCAGCCTTGGGGAGGAATGCTTAGAGACCTGCCTGGAATGTGGCCACTGACTGGGGTGGTGCTGTGAGGGCGCCACCGTGGGCTTGGGTCTGCCTTGGCCCTCAGGGACTGGCCACTTATTTTCCCTCCTCATTCTTGACACTAATGTGGTACTGACAAGGCCAGGGGAAGCCTTGTGCTGCCCAAGATGCAGTCACTATATATACTCTTCTTTTTAAGAAAGAAACAAAACCCTCCCCAACTCGGAGAGGAAGATGCAGGGGTTTCAGGTATGCTGTTGGATCTCTGAATCTCCAGCCTTCTCTCCCTCCTATATTCTTTTATTTTATTTATTTATTTATTTGCAGTAAGGATCATATTTTATTCAAGTCTTTGGGGATTAATAGAGTGTCTGGCAGAACTTCATCACTGTAATAATATTTCCTCCTATATTCTTGTCATTTTGTCCCTGCAGCTACAAGACCTAAGTTCCCAGAAGCCGCAGTCCCACAGCATTCTGGATCTGCTCCGAACCCGGAACATCCGAATGGTCACCATCATGTCCATAATTCTGTGGTGCGTGAGACTGTTTGAGGCTTCCACGCGACGCCTCTGCAGTGGCTGTCGTGCCTCTCTCATTGGCAAATGTGGTTTAGACCCAAACTGAAAGGCCATGTCATCAGAAAGTAAAAGGGATGTGTTTTGCCATCAAAGAATGAGCATGTCACAATTCTTTTTTTTTTTTTACATATTTCTTTTTTTTTTTAAGATATTTTATTTTATTTTTTGTTAATCCTCACCCAAGGATATTTCTCCATTGATTTTTTTAGAGAAAGTGGAAGGGAGAGGGAGAGACAGAGAGAGAAACATTGATGTGAGAGGGTCACATCGATGGTTGCCTCTGACACGTGCCCCAACCAGGGCCAGGGCCAGGGATCAAGTCTGCAACCAAGGTTTGTGCCCTTGACCAGAATTGGGCCCAGGGCCCTTCATTCCAAGGGTCAACGCTCTATCCACTGAGTAAAACCGGCTAGGGCATGATTCTTGATGGAATCTCAGACAAGGAAATGGAAACTGTTGTGGGGGGTTTGGGGGGGATATATAGAACCTTTGAGGATCCCTCCAGGTCGTGGGCGAATCCTTGCTCACTCTGGGTCCCAGTTTAGCTGTTCCTGTCCCTTGTGCCCCAGGCAGTGGCTAAGGAAGACAGGGCAAGCCTTCAGGAAGGCGCCAAGTGAAGACACCATGCTCTTTCAGTCACAGAGGCTGCTGAGTACCTTCTGGGAGTCTGTGTGGAAGCAGGATCCCTCCTTCTGGGATGTTTGGAGAGTGTCCTGGAAGCAGGGCTCCTTACCAGTTCCTTCTGATGAGACATTTCACCAAGTGTGTCAGGAAGGGAGTTGCATTTGCTCAGCTGCAGACACTTAGGGTTAGAGGCACCACCTGATCCTGCTGGGTGAGGAAGGCAGACTTCACCTCAGTCTAAACTACGAGTCAGCCAGTCTCTGGGCAGCCAGCCATTTTGCTCCCTAGAGATGATGAGTCACCCATTTCCAAGAAATAGCCCAGGCTCCCTCAGGGCAATGCCGCGCCCGGGATCGGCCTCAGACAGTGCCAGCATTCAATGTGTGCCACAGACTTGCCAGTCGCCCCCGCTGTTCACCTGGCACTCCTCCGGCTCTGGGTTTCCCGGGAACTCTTGCTCCTGCCCCTTTCCCTGGTTGTACCAGCTGTGGCTTCACCCCTGCAGATGAGCCCAGTCTAACCATAAAGGTCCAGTCTGACAGAATGTCCTGGGGACAGGGACACCGGGTGCGGGTGCGGCCTGCAGACGAGAGCCCCCCTGGCCCCGCCATCAGCAGTCCCTCTCCTCCGGGAGTAGGTGGTGGTGTGTTCACTGCCTCTGACCAGCCTCTTCCTGGCTGGTTGCCACAGGGGGTCTGCTCTGGCTCTTTCTCCAAATGCTTTACCGTGTTTGATCTTATCCTTCCAGTCCTCTCCCACCCCTCTTGCTGTCTGCTTCCTCTCACTCCCCAGCTCCTCTGTAGCTGCTGGGTTTGAGGAGGTTCAGAGAGTCAGGAAGTTGGCTTAGTGAGAGCTTCAGCTTAGGGTTTCTACAGCCAACAGGCAGGTTGGAGATGGGTTTGTCCTTTCTTTCTTTCTTTCTTTCTTTCTTTCTTTCTTTCTTTCTTTCTTTCTTTCTTTCTTTCTTTCTTTCTTTCTTTCTTTCTTTCTTTCTTTCTTTCTTTCTTTCTTTCTTTCTTTCTTTCTTTTATTCCTTCCTTCTTTCCTTCCTTCCTTTCCTTCCTTCCTTCTTCCTTTCTTTCCTTCCTTCCTTCTTTTCCTTTCTCTCTCTCTCTCTCTCTCTCTCTCTCTCTCTCTCTCTCTCTCTCTCTTTCTTCTTTCTTTCTTTCTTTCTTTCTTTCTTGTAAATCTGTCTGAATTGTATGTCTTTTTGCTGTTTGGGATCCTCTGAAAATGCACTGGGCCAGAGACTGGGTTCAATCTGCTGCCCTCCCCTAAGGGTTGTGAATTTCCTGCATTAGTTGCACTTGGAAGGTCCTCTGTTGGAGGCCCCAGGTAGCTGCTGCTCCTCCAGCTTACTTCTGTGCTCTGCTGCAGGATGACCATAGCAGTGGGCTATTTCGGGCTCTCCCTGGACACCCCTAACTTGCATGGCGACGCCTATGTGAACTGCTTCCTATCGGCAGTGGTGGAAGTCCCCGCGTACGTGCTGGCCTGGCTGCTGCTGCGGCACCTGCCCCGCCGCTACTCCATGGCCACCGCCCTCTTCCTGGGCGGCAGCGTCCTCCTCTTCGTGCAGCTGGTGCCCCCAGGTAGGGAGTGTGTGCGTCTGCCTCTGGGGTCTTCGCTGAGTCACTCAGCCACTACCAGGCTGTCTCCCCCAACTCATGAAGGGATTAAAATAATGCCACCACCGCTCACCTGCATATCTGCATTCTTGGCCAAAAAATCAAGAGAAAGTGTCTCCTGAGACCCGACACTCCTCATGGCCTGGGCTTGTGTGGAGTGGGCAGAACAACCAGGTGGGGCTGGTGGTTAGTTTTACTCTTGACTCAAGCAGATTTGTTTTTCTCTGTGGGGAAGCATGAGACTTGGTTGGAAGGCTTATAAGGAGGCTATTCCAAGGAAAGGGAAGCGTGTGGAAGGCCGCCTGCTCTGTTTATCGGAATTCTGACTTAGGGGAGTGTCGAAGGCGGCACCCCTAATTATTCCTTGACATTTCCAAACAAGTCTGTGCATGTGCGGACCCCTGGGTGTTTACTGGAATCCTTATGCTTAATCCCTGAATGCCCTTGCCTAGAAGACTATGCAAACACATGTGTCCTCCCAAGATTACTCACCCTATTGATTGTATCTGAAGATTAAAAACTCTAATAAAAGGCTAACGAGGCAGGCAATTGAGGCTGCCTGGTTGCTATAGCCAGGCCGTCCCTTAGCCTTTCTTTCACAGCAAACATTGTGCAGGAGTAGTCCATTCATCTGTCACTCAGGGTCTGCTGGCCAGCCCCACCATTTCTCTGCAGAGTAAGGGAGAGGAAAGACAGCCATCCCCATCACTCTTTAACCGGGCCCTTAGTCATTTATTTATCCAACAAGTAGATAGGGGCACTGTGCTGGGGCAGGGATGCAGGAGAAAACAACTTGGGCAGAGCCCAGGCCCTCCTGCAGCTCACACTCTAGTTGAGAAAACAGGTAAACAAGTAAATAAAGGCTTAATATAGTGCAGACTGTGTTACCTTTATAATAACAAGCAAGGACTGTGGAGAGCTAGTTTATACAGAGTGGTCACGGACAGTTGAAAGAAACATAGATGAAGTGATGGAGAAAGCCATGAAAAATTCTAGGAACGAAGCATTGCAGACTGAAGAAATAGCAGAGGCATAGACCCTGAGGCGGGACCAAGCCTGGCATGTTTGAGGAGAGAGGAAGAGCTGGAAAAAGACAGAGAGGGGAAAAAGGAGGGGCCAGATCATAGGCCGTTAGCAGGGTCTGATTCTTAAAACCGTCTTGGCATCCCGCAGATGGAGGAGACAGCCCTTTTCAAAGAACAGTTCATGGACTCCCCGTGGTAACTAGATTGTCAGAGTACCCAGGGATTTGGAGGCCTCTGGGGATCGTTTGTGGGTCCCCGAGGCTGGCAGCACTGCACAGGGACAGCCCCGACTGTGACATGGCAGGGGAGCCCAGGAATGCGTGTACAGGTTCGCCCAAGCTCAGGGAGACCCACAGGCCGCTCACAGCATCTCCTCATTGGCACAGCAAGCAGGGTAGATGGGAGGGTCCGTTCCGAGGGTGTGTGGGTCTGAGTAGAATGAAAGCATGAAATGAGTTAGATGTGAGCTTCCCGTTCACCCAGAAGCCAGTAGTTATACTTCCACAGCGCCTGCAGCATAAGGTTCTGGACGCAGCTGGCCCCTCGACAGGCGCGTGTTTGATGACTTCTGGCCTGGAAAGCAAGTTTGTTCGGGATGTTGAGGGGCTCATTCTCGTCATCTTCACACCGAGGGGAAGGGCAGGCACTTACACAGCTGCAGGTCCAGCTTCCTCTCCGTAGTAACAGTTTGGAGGGATCTCTTGGCTGTAGCCCCTCATCCCACAATAGGAATGCCAGCCCCACAGAAAAGGGAGAAAGTATGTTTGTTTCAGACAACAAACAAAACAACAAAACCTGGAACTCTCAACAGCAGTGTACCTTGGGTTGGTGCCTTCTCCTACCTTCTTCCCTCTGTCTCCCCAGACTTGTATTATTTGTCCACCGTCCTGGTGATGGTGGGCAAGTTTGGAGTCACTGCTGCCTTTTCCATGGTCTACGTGTACACAGCCGAGCTGTACCCCACCGTGGTCAGAAATATGGGCGTGGGAATCAGCTCCATGGCGTCCCGCCTGGGCAGCATCCTGTCTCCCTACTTCATTTACCTTGGTAAGTCCCGTGGGCCGAGGGCACACGGGAGCTTTGGGGCGGAGGCACTGGTGAGCTGGAATGCGAGCTGAAGATGGCTTGCGAAGGGAAAACACACAGCAAATGGGACCCATCTAATCCTGGATCTGTGCCTGGAGAAGGTTCCTGTCCAGGTGCGTGTGCTGTGGAGAGGCACTGGCTTGTAGCTAAGCCTGAAATTGCTGAGAAAAGTAGGGAGTTTTGTTCCTGTTTCAGCTTCCCATCAGAAAACAGAATCCCCTATCCTAAGAAACTACACAGTGGCTTAGGGAGCCAGTATTCTTAATTGGAGAACCTCTTCTTGGAATCAGAATTTAAAAGGAACAGGAGAGGGAAAGATGTCCATTCAAGAGGGCTGATGAACTGAGAATGTGTGCGGGTTGGAGCATGTGACACGGTGGTTTAATTCTGTATGAAGATGCGCCTCATGCCATTTTCTGTAGCAGGGCACCATTTGTCTCTTCCTCAAAATCATTTTCTCTTGGCAGCTGCTTTCCCCTGAGCATCCCTGCTGGCACATCTTTGGGGAGGAGTGCGCCCACCTTGAGAGTACCCGTTATGCTAGGTGAACATGCTCCATAGATCTGACAAGCAGAAACATCTTGCTTGACCTGTAGGCAAATTGAATGGGTTGTAACACATCTGGAAAGAGCTATTCCTGTGGAGGAGCTATTCCTGTCCCTGGACGAGTATCTTGCATTTTTTGGAAACCCAGCATTTAGAAATAGGAATCGTAGTCATCATGGCTCCCCTCCCCTGCACCATGAGGCATTCCTGGACCTCTGGGCATGCCAGTGCCAACTCTGGGTTCTGAGACCCGTCTAGGTGCCAGACCCCATTCTGGCAGCTCAGACTATGGCTGAGGGGGCAGGTGATCCCCATTAGAGCTCAAAGGGATAGAGGGGACCAAGTCTAACTGCACCCTGGCTTGGGGCTCTGTCTGTTTTGCCCTAGGTGCCTACGACCGCTTCCTCCCCTACATTCTCATGGGAAGTCTGACCATCCTGACAGCCATTCTCACCTTGTTCCTCCCAGAGAGCTTCGGTATCCCCCTCCCAGACACCATTGACCAGATGCTAAGAGTGAAAGGGTAAGGAGGCCTCCTTCTTCACCATGTTGGCACACTGGGGGCAGAGAGTTCCCCGGGAAGTCTCACCAGCGCCAGGGACTGGTTTAGAGGGTTAGAAATGGCAAGGAGATTGCATTCCATCCTCTGTGGCCTGACAAGATCACCATGTCACCATGCCCATCTCCACAGCAACAGCAGCTCTGGGAGAGCACAGAGACTAGGAGAACCTTGCAGAATCTGCTGTACGATTTCTTTTTTCCCCTTTAGCGATATAGCCTCAGTTCTAGGTTGGTTTTGTTTATTTGTTTTGAGACTGATGGACATCTTTTTAAGATTTGTTACTAACATTTGTTTTGCTTGTTTTGATAGGATAAAATACAGGCAAACTCCAAGCCACACAAGGATGTTAAAAGATGATGAAGAAAGCCCCACAGTCCTTAAAAGCACAGCCTTCTAACCACCTCTAGTGAGTGAGAAAGTGAAGAGGAAAGACTGGTCTTGTCAGAAACTGTGTAGATGCTGAGTCCTTCAGCGACAGGGTCTTTGCCGTTCATTCCGTCGACCCTTTGTCTGACAAGCTCGCGGATGGGCACCTGGGCTCAGAGGCTGCGTGTGGTCCTAGAGCGCCACCTTCCCTCCAGCGACACCGTGGCTACTGACAGACAACTTCAGAGAAGTCCTAACATGATGGACGGAGCACTTCCTAAGAAGTGAACTAGAACCATTGGGATTTGGAAGAATATAAGAGGCATCTGCTAAATTTACATTTTAATTTCAGACTTCCTGAAAAGGCCTCCTAATAAAACTGGAGGTCTAAATCCCACCCTCTAAATATTTTCTTCGATTCCCTCTAATGGTGCACTTTAGAGGGAAAAAGATCATTTCAGCCCTGGCTGGTGTGGTTCAGTGGTTAGAGCATCAGCCCACATACCGAAGGGTCCTGGGTTCCATTCCTGATCAAGGGCACGTACCTGGGTTGCAGATTCAATCCCCAGCCCTGGTCGGGTTCCTTGAGGGAGGCAACCAGTCCATGTGTCTCTCTCACATCGATGTTTCTCCCTCTCCTTCTCTCCCTTTCACTCTCTAAAAAAATAAATGGAAAAAATATCTCAGTTGAGGATTAACAACAACAACAAAAAGAAATCATTTGACAGGGAGTTGCATTTCTCACACTTTCTCAGTTACAAAGGTTATTAACTGGGATTATTGCTTCCTGAGGGCAGGAGAGCTGGGTGTGGGGAAATTTACAGGTAATTAACATGAGGGGATGTAGAGGTAAAGAACACAGGCAAGGCACGAGCCTGAGCTCTTGGGCCACCCAGTGTGATTACTGGGCAGACTTGTTTACATCTGATCAAAGCGCGGGGCTGGTCCAGGCCCATAATAGACACCTCTTGGAACCCACTATTGTTTTCATGCCAAATGAGTCAAACCGCCTACCTGTTATGATGTCCATGTATGGTTTGCAGGAGGTGTACCAGTGAGAAAGAGAGATGAGCAAACTTGTCTCTTCTCTTAAAACCATAATATGGGTTTTGTTTGTGTGTTGTTATGTCTTTTTCTCATTACGTTATTTGCTCTTCAGAAAAGACTTAGGAAAGACTGGTTCCTTAGCCTCTTGGTTTGTGTCTTTTTTTTTCAACCCAGAATCACTCTGGCAAAGGTCTGCAGTTGCCGCTTGTGCAAGGCCTTCCCACTAGCACTCCTGAGTGTCGTACGGATGTCATTGTGGGGGTTCCTTTTGTGATGCCAAATCATGGGGGAAATTACAAAGAAGAAAGTTCAGTCGTGTTCACAGTCTTTCAGAGCTGCTCACTTCAGTCATATGACATTGGGAGAGATTTTGTGTTCCATGTAATTGTCCTCTCTTTTCTGATTGTTACTGTGGTATTCCTGCAGCCTATGCTTCACCTGGTTAAAAAACATTTTTGGGAAAGCTACTGACGTGCCTTGGAAAATGAAGATGTTTTAATAAATAAAATAATTTTTTAAGTAATAGCAACTCTCCACAACCTTTATTTCCACAATTTGGTGAGCCATACCACACCACTGCCTGACTTTTCTGTGTCACCTTGGCCTACTTCTCGCAGTGGTTTGTGATGAGCCCCTAGAGCTGAGACTTAATCCCTGTGTGCTGGAAACCTTCCCTCTACTGGCTGTGCACTGAGCCAGCCGTCTTACACCGGTGTCTTAGCCTGGCTTCCCCTAAAAGCAGAGCCCGAGCTCGGCCAGCGTGGCTCAGTGGTTGAGCGTCAACCGAAGAACCAGGAGGTCACAGTTTGATTCCTGGTCAGTCCCCCCTGTGGGGCATGCTGGAAGCAGCCAATCAATGATTCTCATCATTGATGTTTCTATCACTCCCTCTTCCTTCCTCTCTGAAATCAATGAAAATATATTTTTAAAAAATAATAATAAAAGCAGAGCCTGAGGCCAGTGCTCCTGTGCAGTCAGATGGTTTATTTGGGGACAAGATTCCAGGAAGCAGGAGTAAAGGACAGGCAGAGGAAACAGGGAAGGAGCAAGAGGTTGGCCAGCACCAAGGGCACTGCTCCATCCATCCAGAACATCTGAGGAGCCTTCTGAAATCTATCTCAAAACTATCTGCACATAGATAAGAGGGGGAAGCATTTATACATTAGCCTCCGTCCCCCATTCATCGAAAGCAGCCCCCTACATGTCAGCCTCCCACATGCATAAGTCCCAAGCAGGTTCTGTCCCCTGGGAAGAAAGCAAGAGGTAACACAAGGCCGGCTCGAGGTGAGCACTGTCAGGCTGCACAACTGGTCAAAGCTGCTGTGCACTGGGGTTGGACATGGTGCGCGCACGCACACGCGCGCACACACACACACACACACACACACACACAATGTGTCACAGGGCAATCTGTGCTAGAGCATGTAGGGAGCTCCAGGGTGGGATAGAGATGCATGATGCATAACCAAACAAGCAGCCTCCGACTCAGGTGGGATGGAAGGAAGCTCGTCTTCCCTAACACTGTTGGCTCCTCCACTCTCCTCAGACCTGGTCCTGTGCTGGGTTCCCGATGAACTGACCACACAGTGGCTCCAGAATATGAATTACGGTCCCGCCTGCCCTTTCTCCTGTTGCATGAGTGAAGAGTTCTGGGTTTTCTTTCTTATCCTCAGTGTCACTGATTCCAGTTATTTGTGGCCCTCTGGGAGCAAAAATCATATTGACCGAAAGGTTCAAGGTGGTGGTGCACAGGCAGGCTAAATAGCAATCCTAGACGGTGAATAAAGAAAAGTTGAATTTATTTAAAGAAAAGGAGATGGGGATATCCAAAGGGAAGGGCTACGTAGCACTGAGCCAAAGAGTGTTGGGTGAATGGTGGCAGCCCCTAAGAGCTGGAGTCTGTTCCTTATATGCAGCCTCTGGCCAGAAGCTTTTGTCATCAGTGGGGTTTGGGGGCTTGGTTGGTGGGCTTGGGCAGTGGGGTTGGGTCAACAGGAAGGTGGATGTGGGACTGGGTGCATGATTGGGTGCTTCTTGGCAGTTTTAATTCCTTATATGTTTGATTCCTGGTGCCTAGCATTTCCTGTCCAACAAGTCTTCCTGGTCTTTGTTCTCCTATGCCCAGCAGACAAAACGGCCGTTAAGCATTATATTGCCTTGTAAGTCTGAACAATTACCTGAATGCTCAGAGCTCTTACCATGGGAACAATAGCCCAAGTCACTCCTCCCTGGGCAGAGGCAAGTGTCAGGAAATCCAAGGCCTTTGTCCTGGCCTCCTGGGCTCTTGTGTGTGTTTTTTCTATCAGAGCCATGGCTTTGGGATGACTGACCAAGTTGTCCTGATCAGGGATCTCCTCTCAGGAAGAGAGGTGTGCACAACCTATAATCACAGGAATGGTTGGTGAGTAATGTGCTCAGTTAATACCTGTAAGAATTAAAAGCCAGGATACCCATAGAATAATAAGGGTAAAGCAAAGGAGGGGGAGGGACAATTCAGATTAAAAAAATAAATGTGTAATGAAGGGTTTACCCCATAATCTTTTCCTATTGTTAGGAACTAGTTTCTGTCTCCATCAGAGCTCCCTGAATGCCAGAAGGGCTATGTTTGCCAGAGAGAATTATCCCGCTTAACACCTCATCTAAGTGATGGTGAATGAGTTGGGCAGAGGGCCCTGTTGTTAGGTGGTAAGCAGCACAGCTAATCTTCCCCTGGGTGATTCATTCAATTCCTTTTCCCAAAGTGCTTTCAGACTCTAAGATACAGAGTCTGGATGCAGTACATACAGCTTAGCAATTCCTTATGTTGTACGCCATTGCTATAGCAAAAGGCACTTTGGAAAATACACCTACTTTCTCATTTGATCTTCATAAAACTCCAATGACATTGATAGAGGATGCCCAGGATGCCTGAATCAGGGGCTTTGTTAGGGGCAGACATAGACTATTGGGGACTAGCTATTAGTTATAAAAATATTAATAATGCTCTGTTAACCGTGATTGTTTTGTTCTGATTAAAGAAAGCACACTCTAACCTGGCTGGGGGTTGTACCACGTCTCCCCGCCCCCCCCCCCCCCAACACACACACACACACACACACACACACACACACACACACACACACACCAGGGAGTCAACCTTGGAATGTGGTCCATTATCTTGGAAAGATTGACAACAACCTTGTTGCCCAAACAACGGAGCCCCTCCCCCCAGCCCACATTGCCTGTAATCTAACCATTATACCCATTTTTAGCCCTTTTGCCTACTTCCCCATGTAATCTTTGTCCTTCTACCCAACATAAGCAGCTGGTTTATGGCAGAGCAGACTTTCCTGGATGACCTGCTCCTCTCCGACGCTGCTGGCATTATTGGAATAAATGCTCATACATAATTCAACCCTGTTTCTGTTTAATTGGCTCAAGTAGTGACAGGCAGCCTGGACCCATTTGTTGTCAGTTTCATTTACATCCCTCCTCTTTATAAATGCAAAGGAAAATATATATAATAATATTTTTCTTACATTAATAGTAATAATTTTTAGATGGTAAGATTTGGGAGAGCTTTATAGCATATAGCATACTTTCTATATTGTTTGAATTCCATATAATGAGAATGCATAAGTTTTGTAGTGGTTTTTAATTTAAAAAATAAAACTGGGAGTAAATATGCAAGATGAAGACAAGGATGAATTCATTTCTTCTGCGTACTTTTCACTCTTTTTAAAAACTCCTCCAATCCCTTCCCAAAACTTCACATATTTTTTATTTTTGTTAATCCTCACCCACGAATATTTTTTCCACTGATTTTTAAAGAGTGGAAGGGAGCTGAGGGAGGGAGGGAGAGGGAGAGAGAGAAACATCGATATGAGAGAGACACAGATTGGTTTACTCCTGCACTAGCCCCGCCCAGAGCCAGGGATCAAACCTGCAACCCAGGTATCTGCAACCCAGGTACCTGCCCTTGACCACGAGGGCTGTACCCACTGAGACACGAGGGCCAGGGCTTCACATACTTTTTACGTAGTTCATTCAGCTCCTGATATGAAACACTTCCAGTTTCATATTTCTCCTTGATACTGCTGCCTCCATCCATACATTGCCCTCCGTTGTCTCTGATTATCCCAATTCTACCCATGCTCAAGGCTCACCTCAAGCACACGCTCTTTCTGGGAGGCGCTATGACTTATTGGCAAAGTGCCCACACCAGGAGCAGGTATGTGGTCCAAGCGGTCTAACAGTCGGCTTCTCCACTGACTAGCTCAAAAAGTTGGACAAATCACAAACTTTCCTCACATGTAAAATAGATGAACTACCTCACTGGGTTGTTATAGGGATTACTAGAAGCCTGGTGCACGAAATTCCTGCACAGCGGTGGGGGGGGGGGGGGAGGTCCCTCAGCCCAGCATGCACCCTCTCACAGTCCAGGTCCCCTTGGGGGATGTCCACCTGCCGGCATCCCTCTCACAATCTGGGACCACCTGCTCACTGCTCCTTAGCACTGCTGTGGAGGTAGGAGAGGCTCCTGCCACTG